AAGATCTACTTGAAACTTTTGCTTGTGAAATCTTTTAAAATATAAGGGGAATAAACCAAAGAACAAAAATAATACTCCCTCCGTCCCTTATAACTTTGCTAACTTTCCTTTTTTGGTTGTCCCAAAAACTTTGTCACTTTCCCTTTTAATCAATCAATTTGTGGCTCTTGTTATTTCTCTCTCCTCTGCACAAATTTCTACCACACAGTTTTTACTTTATTATTCTACGTGCCAGTCAAACTTGTCAATCCTTTTAGGGACGGAGGGAGTATGAATTTTTTCACTTTTGATTATCTTTCAAAAATAGAACTTTTCTTTCAACATACAACTCCACCGGAAGAACTCTCCTTAACCCAATCCAGCGAACCTGTTCGGCACTTCTGCCAATCGCAAGGACGCAAGATCGCAGTCTTCAAGTCGCATTTCAGCAGTCCCGCACGCCGCAGCCGCGCGCCCCTTCTGCGAGGCAGTGTGCTTCTCTCAATTTCACTTCTCACTTTGTTGCAGTTCTGGCTGAGCGCCTGCCTTCCGTATCTCCGTTAATCGGCTCAACCCCTAGGCATCAGATTTTTCTTCCTGATAATGGGATTTGAAGAACAAATATAAAAACAGTTTAGTAGTGTCAAAGTACTGTTTTTTGCTTTCAGGTGAAGAAGAAGATACTTAAAGCAATCTTGAGGTGCTTGAGTTTCTAAGATCAAGAGCAGCCGGAAAGGGTGTTGCACGTGTCATGCTCCCAATTTTGGTATCTGAGTTTAAGGTTTTTGATTATCTAGAACAGATTGTTGTGTACAAGTAATTAGACTAGAGAAATTATTGACGAATTTGTGGGAAAATGTAAAAGCTGCGCTTTAATATATCAAAAGCTGAAATTTTGAACATCATCAATGTCAGACCATGTACTCTATCTCATATTTACCCGATAATAGAGGAATATGATGTTCGGTTTCCGAGAAGTGAGGAAAAGAGTGAAGAACCTTTGATGGCACTGTTCGAGACAATACAACATGTTTTGCTTGCCCCTCCTTCGCCAATGCAGCAGGCTGATGGGGAAGTTGATGAAAAAGTTGATGAAAAAGTTGATGAAGAGATGGAAACATCTGTAGATGAAGATAGAGTCGTTGAGAGTAATGAATAGTAGCACACTTTACCCAGGAAATTTGTAGGTGTTATGTGACCGGTTTTCAGTTGGATTGGTTAAGATAATTAAGCTCTGTCACTGTGTTGACCGGTAAAATTTTGCAGTTCTTCAAAATGTTATATTTGCAAGTCTTATACTCTATAATAAATTTGGCTTGACGGTAAGATGGAGCATTTCGTTGTAGATCTTTTCAAGTAGAGTTTTTAATGCTAATCTTTGTGGTAATGATTATCATAATATGCCTCCATACAAAAAATAGAACTCCACGAAAAGTATTATTAAATCCGTTCTTTTTTTTTTTTTTTAAAAGAGATATACCTAAGGGATATTTACTAATATATGACTAAAACATTGACAATTTCAGAATATATGACTACTACTTTTGTACATCCCAAAATATGATTAAATATTAGTTTTATACATACGAAACACTATCATATTGGGAAGAAACACATTAGACCAATATTACATACCTATGATTTTTTACATACTACTTTTGTACATACATAACCCATTCATTAGACCAATATTAACGCTTTCTATAAGAAACACACCATATAACATCTGATAAAAACCTCTATGATTTTTTTTATTAAGGAGATGAACATATATCTCCTCTCTTCGACGCATTATAAACTATTGTCTACAAAGAGACATACCCCCCATGACATTTTTTTATGTGATAAAGAATTTTCACACAAAGAATCGCATTTTTTTATTCATTTTTTTAGCGACAAATGGTAGTGAATAACACTCATACAATTTTATATTTTAAGATGACTGATCCAACTCGACCCGAGTTTGACATCCTGGACTCAGAAGGACTTGAGTACCATCGCTGGGTTTCTGACATAGAAACCACTTTTGTGGCTAAAGACTATTCTGCCACGCTTGCCGACCCCGAAAATTTAAAAGATAATGCATCGTCTGAAAAAAAAGGCTGTTGCGTTAATGTTCCTTAGACGCCATATTGACCCTAGCTTACGCTGGGAATACTTACAATTGAAAACCCCCAAAGAATTGTGGGACGCACTAAAAGGTCGTTTTGGGAACATACATGACACATTGCTCCCCGAACTGACAGTGCAATGGAATGAAATCCGCTTAGTCGACTACAAAAAGATCAACGATTTTAATAAGGACATGTTACGCCTCAAAGCGCGCCTTAATTTATGTGGTAAACCAATCACAGAAGATGAAATGATTGATAAGACCCTCTCCACTTTCCCTACCTCAGCACTTATACTAGCGAACCAGTATAGGTTGGAGCATAATAACAAAAGAATAACCACATTTAATCAGTTAATTAATTTGCTCCAAGTTGCTGAAAGACAAAATCATGTTCTATTGAATAACAATGCCCGACCAGTTGGGACAAAGAAAATTCCCGAGGTCAACTATGGCAAAGCAAACACTAGAAAGCACCCTAGTGGAAGAGGAGAGGGCCGTACTCGTGGAAGGGGGCGCAACAATCGCGGTGGGCGTGGAGGCCGAGGTACGGGCCATGGAGGATTTTCCAAAGTGTGGAAGAGAGATAGAAGCGGCGGGACCAGTGGTCAAACTAACAAGGCCCATATTGCACCATCAAAACCTCCAGTCAAACGAGATCGAGTTGGGGAAGAACCATGCTACAAATGCGGCGTTTCAGGTCATTGGTATAAGAATTGCCAAGCCAGTAATAGAGTTGCTGCTGCCTACAAGAAATACAGAGAATCAAAGGAACATGAATCTCAGTTTGTGACAGATGAAGGAAATGAGGTTGATGTTAACCTCACAGTGGCGGATTTTGGTGTTAAAAATAACACCACCCATTCAGTCGATGCAACGGACTTTGATTAATTTTCCCCCTATCCTACCAGACAATTTAAACAAACTTTATGTTTTTCCCATTCCTTTTAATTTCCCGCTTATGGACATTACATGCTTATCGTTATTTGAATAATTGGATTCAATTTTTGAAATCCAAATATATACCAACAATTATCTAATGCATGTTTACACAGGAATGACCCGAGGAGAACTCGAATGTTTAGTCGATAGTGGGACAACCCACACTATCCTGAGACATAGGCAACTTTTTATTCAATTAGTAGCCTATAAATCCTCTGTGACTACGATGATTGGATCATCGAACGTAATACAAGGGCGAGGCACCGCCAAATTTATGCTACCTAACGGTACCACATTCCACGTCACAGACGCTCTATATGCACCTAGAGCTACTCGAACTTTATTAAGTTTTAAAGATATACGGGATAATGGTTTCCACGTTGAAACTCATAGTGAGGATGAGATAGAATACCTATATATTACCTCTAGTAAAAGTGGAAGAAAACGCATATTAGAAAAATTAATGAGTCAATCTAGTGGACTCTATGTCACTACTATTCGAATCACATGCGGTCTCCAACAATGAAATGTTGGACATCGACTCGTATAGGCTTTGGCATGATCGTCTTGGTCACCCCGGTTGTGACATGATGATTCGAATTCTCAAGAATTCACATGGACACCCTTTCTTTCGAGAAAGGGATAAAGAAGGGCGAAAAGTCAACACAGTACAAACTGTTAACCATGCGTCTCCTCCACAAGGACAATTATCTTCTAAAGCACAAGAAGAACTAGCCCATGCTTCCCTAACTATGTCCACATCACAAAACTCATTTTGCAAAGCCTGCTCCTTAGCAAAAACAGGATTGAGACCATCCTATGCTAAAGACACAAAACAAAACATCCCATTCTTACAAAGAATTCAAGGAGACATATGTGGACCGATCCATCCAGAATGCGGACCATTTAGATACTTTATGGTTCTGGTGGACGCATCGACCCGTTGGTCGCATGTTACCTTATTGTCCACAAGAAATGCTGCATTTGCAAAACTCCTAACAAAAATAATTCGCTTAAGGGTCCAGCACCCCGATCATCCTATAAAGTCTATTAGACTTGATAACGCTGGAGAGTTTACATCAAAGACATTTGATGACTATTGCATGTCTATCGGGATCGACATAGAGCATATCGTTCCCCATGTACACACACAAAATGGTCTCGCAGAAGCTACTATTAAAAGATTACAAACAATAGCTAGGGCATTGGTTATGTGCACCAACTTGCCTATATCTGCATGGGGATATGCAATATTACATGCAACCTTACTTATTCGCTTTCAGCCCACTGCAAACCAACCATTTTCTGCATACGAGTTGGTAATTGGATATGAGACTGACATTTCACACTTACGCATATTTGGTTCTGCAGTCTATGTCCCAATTGCTCCACCACAGCGCACCAAAATGGGTCCTCAAAGGCGATTAGGTATATACGTTGGATACGAATCCCCAACAATAATCCGCTATCAAGAATCTTTGACAGGCGATCTTTTCACCGAAAGGTTTGCGGATTGTCACTTTGATGAGACAACATTCCTGTCATTAGGGGGAGATAAGAAAAAGGATTTTTTTCGAAGAACAACGTGAATTATCCTGGTGTGTTCCTACACTGTCTCATTTTGATCCCCTCACCTCACATTGTGAAAGTGAAGTGAAAAGAATAATAGACATACAAAATGTAGCAGACTCAATGCCCGATGCATTTTCTGATATTGCAAAAGTGACAAGATCACACATACCAGCTGCAAATGTGCCTGCAAGGTTAGAAATCCCCAAGGGAGGGCACAGTGCCATAGTAGGAGGCACTGCAACCACACTTAGTGGAGGTGTGGTTGAGGCCGTGGCTCCTCAAAGGAAGAAAGGAAGACCACTTGGTTCGATTGATACTCGTCCAAGGAAGAAGAGGACGAGTACGGCACAACCTAATCCATTAATCATCGATGAACGACATCCATCCCATGAGATTATCTCCGATTATAGTTATGTCCACGAATCATTACTGGAGGACGCTCCGATGATCGAAATGATTCTAGAAAACAAGGAAATCTCTATGGATTGTGAAAATGCACATGTGCTAATGGAAAGATCTTCCATACACATTGATGATATATTTGCATTTACAGTTTCTCAAGAAATTATAGAGCATGATGATATCGAACCTCGCTCTGTGGCAGAATGCCAACAAAGAGCTGATTGGCCTAAATGGAAAGAAGCAATCCAGGTCGAATTAGATTCCCTCACAAAAAGGCAAGTATTTGGTCCGGTAGTGCTAACCCCACCAAGTGTAAAGCCTGTAGGACATAAATGGGTATTTGTCAGAAAGTGTAATGAGAAGAATGAAGTCTTAAGGTACAAGGATCGCCTAGTGGCGCAAGGTTTCTCACAACGCCCTGGGATTGACTACGAGGAGACCTACTCTCCCGTAATGGACGTTATCACATTCCGATACCTAGTCAACTTAGCAGTTTCTGAAAGATTGGAAATGCAATTGATGGATGTGGTTACTGCATATCTCTATGGGGATCTTGATTCAGAGATATATATGAAAGTACCCGACGGACTTTCACTACTTAAATCAAGTGACTCTAAACCACGGAGTGCGTTTGCAATAAATTTGAAACGCTCACTTTACGGATTAAAACAATCCGGGCGGATGTGGTATACCCGCCTAAGTGACTACTTGATTAGGAAGGGATACAAGAACGATGAGCTTTTCCCCTGTGTATTCATAAAGAAAACGAGTTCCGGATTTGCAATCATAGCTGTATATGTCGACGACATGAACATAATCGGCACTCTTGACGAAATAAGAGAAACCGCAAGCTATTTGAAATCCGAGTTTGAGATGAAAGACCTTGGGAAAACTCGATTTTGTCTAGGTCTTGAATTAGAACATCGAATTTGTGGAGTATTAATCCACCAGTCTGCGTATATCCAAAAGGTACTCAGGCGATTAAACATGGATAAAGCACACCCTGCTAGCACTCTCATAGTGGGCCGAAGTCTAGATCCTAAAAAGGATCCATTTCGTCCAAAGGAAGATGACGAGGAGACATTAGGAGCTGAAATTCCATTCCTAAGTGCAATAGGCGCATTATTGTACTTAGCACAATGCAATCGGCCCGATATAGCATTCTCAGTGAACTTGTTAGTTAGATTTAGCTCTGCGCCTACGCAGCGTCATTGGAATGGTATGA